TTATTCTTCAAGATAGTTTTTTGGCTAATCATATCTTCCATTTACAAATGAATTTTTGTATGATTTTTTTTCAAGCTCTGTAAAGAATGTTCTTTGGATTTTGTTATTGGGATCACATTGAATCTTACTTCTGGGAATATGAACACTTCCATGATATTACTTTGCCTATCCAGGAACACGGTATATTTCTCCATTTTTTAATGTCTGCTTCTATTTCTTTTTTCAATGTCTTGCATTTTTCCTCATAGACACCATTCACATATTTAGTTAGGATTATTCCAAAGTATTTAAGTGTCCTCTCTGTTATTTTGAAAGGAACCATGCTGACTAGTTGTTTTCTTTTCTCTTCTTTTTTCAGCTCTGGAGTTGTTTGTGTATACAAGGGCCATTGATTTGCATTTACTTGCTTGTACCCCACCATGTTACCAAACTCTCTCATAAGTTCCAGCATCCTCATTCTTGAGCCTCTTGGTTCTCCTATTTATAGAATCATGTTGTCTGCAAACAGAAATAGTGTGAGTTCCTCTTTTCCCATTTTAACTCCATTAATTTCTTTACTGTTTTTTTCTTTCTCTCTTTCCTTTTTTTTTTTTTTCTTGCCTTGCTCTAACAAGGACTTCCAATGCTACATTGAATAGCTGTGGTGAAAGTGGACATCTTTGTGTAGTTCCAGATCTTAGTGGAAAAGCTTCCAGTCTTTCCCCATTTAGTGTGATGCTGGCATTGAGTTTTCCATGTTTTTTTTTTTTTATTGTGTTGTACAGTTTTCCTTCTATACCTATCTTGTTTAGGAATTTTAACATGAAATTGCATTGGAGTTTGTCAAATGCTTTCTCTGCATCTAATGAGAGTATCATATGGTTTTTGTTCTTCAGTTTCTTGATGTGGTGTATCACATTTATAGATTTGCATATGTTAAACCATCCCTGCATGCCAGGGATAAATGCCACGTGGTCCAGGTGATTAATCTTTCTGGTATATTGTTGGCTTCTGTTAGTTAGTATTTTGTTCAAGATTTTAGCATCTGTATTCATCAGGGATGTTGCTCTGTAGTTCTCTTTCTCTGTTGTGTCTCTGTCTCATTTCTCTGTCTCGTTTCAGTATTAAGGTAATGTTGGCCTCACAGAAAGATTTTGGAAGAATGGCCTCTCTTTCTATTCTTCTGAATAGTTTATGAAGAATTGAGATCAGTTCTGCTTGGAATGCTTTGTAGAATTCAGCAGTGAAGCTGTCTGGACCTGGCTTTTCTTGGTTGGAAAGGATTTAATTACTGATTTTACCTCTGTCTCATTACAAGTTTATTTAGATTTTCTGTTGCCTCATGACTCAGTTTTGGTAGATGGTTATGTCCAGGAATCTATACATTTCTTGAAAGTCTTTGATTTGTTGGCACATACTTGCTTGTATTAATTTCTGATTATTCTCTGTATATGTTATTCCCTTTTTCACCTTTGGTTCTATCAATTTTTTTTATCACTTTCTCAGAGAACCAACTCTTTGTTTCATTGATTTTATGTATTATTCTTTTGGTCTTTATCTGATTTATTTTCTCTTCTAATTTACTAATTTTTTTTCTTGTTTTTCTTTGGATTATTTGGCTGTTGTTTTTCTAGCTCTTTCATTTACTTGATGTCTTTCTTGTTTCCTAATATAGGCACTCATTGTGATAGCTTTGCCTCTTAATACTCCCTTGCCACCCTGCCATAGGTTTTTGTGTGTTGTATTTGAGTGTTCATTGGTTTCAAGGAATTTTTTGATTTCTTTTTTGATTTCTTCTCTACTCCATTGTTCATTCAGTAGGTTGTTCCACTTCCAATAATTTGCAAGTTTTCTGGGATATTTTGATTTACTGGTCTCTAGTTTCACTCCACTGTGATCTGAGAAGATGCATAGGATGATTTTAATTTTTCTAAATTTTCTGAGGCTTGTTTTGTGATCTATGGTATGATAAATCCCAGAGAAGATTCCATGTACAGCTAAAAAAAAGGGGGGGGGCATTCAGTGTCCATAGAATGAAAGGTTTTGTAAATATCAATTAAGTCCATTTGTTCTGCTGTTTGTGAGAGCCATTGCTTCTTTGATGAATTTCTGTCTCATTTGTCTGTCCTGTGATGTTAATGGGGTGATAAGGTGTCCCATTATTGTTGTATTTGCATCTGTATTGCTCTTACAGGTTCATCAATCATTGTCTCATGTAGCTAGGTGCCCTTGTATTTGGTGTGTATACATTTGCTATTGCTATTTCTTCTTACTTGGTGGATCTCTTTATCATTCTGTAGTGTCCCTCTTCATCTCTTTGGTTTTCAAAAAAAAATTTTTTTAATTGGAAAACCAGATATACAGAGAGAAGGAGAAGAGACAGAGAGGAAGATCTTTCATCCACTGATTCATGCCCAATGGCTAGAGCTGAGTCAATCCTAGGCCAGGAGCCAGGAGCCTCTTCCAGGTCTCCCCCACGGGTGTTGGGTCCCAAATCTTTGGGCCATCCTCATGTGCTTTCCACAAGCAGGGAGCTGGATGGGAAGCAGAGTCGCTGGGATTACAACTGGTGCCCATATGGGAAGCCATCATGTGTGAGGAGCGGATTTTAACTGCTAGGCTATCACACTGCGCCCTCTTCATCTCTTTTAATGTTTATTATGGTGAGTTTATATCATCTGATATTAGAATAGCTACACCAGCTCTTTTCCTTTCCATTGTTGTAAAATAACCTTTTCTGTCCTTTCACTCTCAGATTCCATGTGTCTTTGTTGATTAGATGTGTTCTTTTAGGCAGTAGATAGATGAGTCCTGCTTTTGGAGCCATTCTGTTAAGCTCATCCATTTAAGCCATTCATGTTTAGTATTAATGTTTACAGGTTGTGATTTGGTCCTGTCATTGTTGTTTTGGGATTTCCCTCTCTGTTGGTTCTGCTATCTCGCAAAGGGGCTTCAGGTACAAATCACCTGGGTGTGGGGTAGACTCTGCGTTTGTTCCATGAGTCCCTCCCTGGGCAGCTTCATTCCTGAGAGGTTCGCTCCCCACTGGTTGGCTCCCCAGATGCATCGCTGCCCTGATCTTGTGGAGGATGAGGGTGTTGATCAATCAGGAGCCTGTGGACTTCCACTCAGCTTTGCCTCCACTCACCAGTGTTTTGTCCTATAGCTTTCTGCGGAATATCCACTCAGATGTCTGTCTACTCCTGTTCCCTTTGTGCTGGCTTCAAATTCACTAGGCTTTTGTCTGTGGGTTGGGATGCATTCCTGTAGCTCACCTGCACTCACCTTCCTCATGAGCTGCTGACTGCAACCTCTGTTTCAGCAGATGTTCTTCCTGCAGCTCCTGCTTTTCTCCAGTTGCCTCCAGGGAGCGCCACTCACCACATCCAGCGATTTTCCTTCCCCAGCTCTGTGCTCTACTTGATTTTATCTTGCAGCTCTCTCAGTACTCTTGGCTACACCTTCCTATGTTGGTCAGCTATTTTCTACATTGCCAATAGGGCGGTTTAAAAATGACTTTCTTCACTCAAATCTCAGCCCATGAACAATTACTAGCTATTAGCTATGTATCTGAAATCTTGCTAGGGTCTTATAGTTCTTCAGAATAGCACATAAGTAAAACATGAAATTAAGTGCTGAATGAAATGATAGAGACATATATAAGGCACTGTGTGGTCACCAGCAGGGATGTAATTAACTAGGCCTGAGAAGCACAGAAAAGCTTCTATACAGAAAGTACCTCATCAGAAAATGGAGTTACAATTGCTGCATCTGCGGTGGACACAGCATGTGTAACTAATGTCCATTTCATCAAGAAAGCAGACAGGTCAGCATAGTCACTGCCATTGGTTAGGCAAGATGAAAGCACAATTTGCATGCATTTTAACTCTAGTAGTTACAATGTGTTGCTCTTACGACACTATCTCCCCTTGAGACCAAAGTGTGTGTTCTTTGTGATCTTAGCAACAAGCATAGTACCTGGTCCACAGCTGGGGATCAAGAAGTGGTGGTTAGAGCCACAAAAGTGTAAATGAGTGATTAGATGCCCATCCCAAAGCTCAAAATTACATGTTGAAAATTGTGTGATTTTTTAAAATAATGTTTATTTGCTCAAACATTTATTAGGCTACTAAACAAGATTAACATGTGAGATAATGTGTTATGTTACAGTGGATAAAACTTGCACCTATTACGCTACTATGGCTTGTGTCCTGGCTTCTCCACTTCAAATTTAGCAGATGGAAGATCTCTGTATCTGCCTTTCCGCCACCCTGCACCCCCCACTCTCTCTAACTCCACTTTTCAAAATAAACAAGTATTTCTTAAAATATATATGTTAGACTTGCTTTACATGTAAAGATTCTGAAGTGTCATCAGTGCTACCGTGTCCATTTTATCTGATTTTATTTTTGTCTCAAGCCTCTGTAAGATGGCTTCCACTGCATCACTCCATGAAACAAGATCACAGATGGCCCAAATCGTGTACTTTCAGCAGATTCATTTTTTCAGTCTTTATCTTACCATATTGTGGTTCTCCAAAGTCACTCTACCTTCCCTCACTTCTGGCTTCACTCACCTTGTCTCCATTGTCCAAAATGTCACCCTCCCTGACATACACACACCAACCCTCCCAGGTCTCTTTAACTACTAATGTCTATTCAGGCACTTTTAAGTTGTTTTCTGTTGAGGTACTTCTTCCAATAGGCCACATAATCCCTCTCTGGGCTGCCAGTTTCTGCTCACATAGCATGGTCATGTTACTGCTCTTTTCACATAGCACGAAATTTTACTATTTGCATTGTTTTCCCTAACAACACAGAGAACATTGGTGAGAAGAAATTAATTTAAAGCATTTTTTTTCTCTTATACATATCACGGTCCCTGCTCGGTATACTGACTGCTCATGAGAACAACAAAAATTTTAGACACCAAACCACAGGTGCTTGTGGATGTGGGATTTAAGTTTAAATAAGCTAGATGTCTGTGACAGAATTCTCAATTTCCTAAGCAGCAGAAGCATGATGGCCAAGAAGCGGATTGCAGTCATTGGAGCTGGAATCAGTGGGCTGGGTGCCATTAAGTGTTGCTTGGATGAAGATTTAGAACCCACCTGTTTTGAAAGAAATGATGACATTGGAGGTCTCTGGAAATTTCAAGTAAGTGTGGATTTTATTTGTTTTTCATTGTGTGATTTTTAATCACTGTAAAATTTGGATGACAGTTTAATGAAATATAATCATATTATATTGTAAGAACTTGGAGTAACCTTAATCTTCTTGCTTGTGTTTCTGGTGAGAAAGTATTGAAATATATGCTCCTTTTAGTTTCATACATGAAATATATGAGATTTTACTCAAGGTAACTACAATTCTGTGCAACTACAGGAAATATTAGAAAGAGGGTCCATGCCACGGTAGCCTAGTGGTTAAAGTCCTTGTCTTGCACGTGTCGGGATCCCATATGGGTGCCAGTTCTAATCCTGGCAACCCTGCTTCTTATCTCACTGTTCACTGCTTGTGGTCTGGGAAAGCAGTCAAGGACAGCCCAAAGCCTTGAGAACCTGTACCCATGTGGGAAGCTCTGGGCTCCTGGTTTCAGATCAGCACAGTTCGACCACTGCAGCCACTTTTAGAGTGAATCATTGGATGTAAGATCTTTCTCTCTGTCTCTTTTCCTCTCTGTATATCTGACTTTCCAATAAAAATTAAATAAACATTAAAAAAAGAGAGAGAGAGAGATCCCAGCACAATAGCCTAGCCTAAATCTTCACCTTGCCCATACCAGGATCCCATAGAGACTCCAGTTCATGCACCAGCTGCTCCACTTCCCATCCAGTTCCCTGCTTGTGGCCTGGAAAAGCAGTAGAAGGTTCAAAGCCTTGGGACCCTGCACCCACATGGGGGACTCAGAACAAGCTCCTAGATGCTGACTTTGAATCAGCTCAGCTCTGGCCATTGCAGCCACGTGGTAGGGGCGAACCAGTGAACAGAAGATCTGTTTGTCTTTCCTTTTCTTTACGGATCTTCCTTTCCAGTAAAAAACAGAAAAATCTTTAAAAGAGAGAGAGAGAGAGAGAGAAAGAAAGAAAGAAAGAAAGAAAGAAAGAAAGAAAGAAAGAAAGAAAGAAAGAAAGAAAGAAAGAAAGAAAGAGAAAGAAAGCTAAAGACATGATGATTGAGGGTTCCTTCGACTGACCAAATGATGTTGTGCCCAAGGTTATTAGCGTCACAGATTCTGATAATACGGGAGGATGATTAATTGCTAGTCTTCTACCACACAAATTCACACTTTCTTCTGCAGTCGCCCATGCTCACTGGTTGCCTCTGCATTGGATTCTCATTTTTCTACCAGAGAATAATGGCATTTCCCCTTCAACTCTTGCTAGCATGGAATGTATCACCCTAGGTACCCTTGATACCAAATGGTAAATAGACTTGAAACTAATGTGGCTCCTTCATCAGTATTTTCCAGAGTCATCCTGCTCACCTTCAGAATGGACATACTATGCTGTGTGTTGATGACTTGATTTTCTTTCCTTATTCTTGACCTCTTCTACACTCAGGACATGTATTAAAAAATACGGAACTTCTTGATTAGCAAGGAGAGTGATATCGCTGTCAGAGTAATTGAAATCACTGCCTGAATGGCATCTTCCCTTGTATCTATTTAGCAAATCAGTGAACAAGAAACATTCCTAGTTGTCATTGCTCCAATATGGTGTTGGAGCAATTCTAATATACCTCTTTAAAACCTGCTAGTTTCCGTACATTTGGTTTCAATTATATTCAATGCTAAATATTCCATAATACTCACTTTGCTTCTTTAATTCAATTTTTACTCAACAATGGTTTTGCAGCACCAATTGTGTGTCAGGTAATTTTACAGGCCTAGAGAAATTTATCAGTAAATATGAATAGGAAAATTCTAGCCCTTGTGAAGCTTATATGCTAATAAATAAATAATATGAATGATAATAATGATAATGGTAAGTAAGTAAAGAAAAATAAAGGAAAGTAGGAGAGTTTAGAGAATATAATCTTTTACGAAGTAAATTATTTAATTTTTTGCCTTTAGTACTTTGTTTTTCATGATATTGTTCCATAGACCCAGTGATTCTCTTTTCCACCCTTGAAATAACACCAGCTTCCCCCCATAATTAATTCAATATTGTAATTCTTCAAAAATACTCACAAGTCCAATATTCTGCAATTTAAGTATATCATAGGTTTGTAGGTATAGAGAATGGTAGAAAGTTTAGGATTATATTGTTAAGATATATTTAATATCATCATTGAGATTCCTCCTTTTATTCAGGAGTAAAGATGCATACTGCAACGCCTTCACTTCCAGGTGTGCTAGTCTCTATTCTACAGCTCATCTATGAAAATAAATGTATATGCATATTTCTCTACATATTTATTTTTTGTATTTTGCATGAAAGCTGCCTTATGTCAACAAAGCATTTAATATTTATCCTTTTTGGATTGGTTTATTTCACTGAGCATAATGGTCTCTAGTCTGGACCATTTTGCTGCAAATGGTAGGATTTCATTCTTTTTAATGGCTGAGTAGCATTCCATAAAGTAGATGTACCACAGTTTCTTCTTTTTTTTTTTTCCGACGGGAAGAATGGGTGCAAAAAAGCCTGGTGTTTACATGGATGAAATATCATTCAGCCTTTTTGTTTTTAATTTTTCATGATATGCTTCCTTAGGCTCAGAGATTTCCCCTGCCACTCCCCATTCCCCCTTCATACTGGCTTCTATAGCAACTGTACTAGCAGTGAATTAGGGCACCTTTCTCCCCTATCCATGCCAGAATATATTGTTAGTAGATTTCCAAATATAGGCCAATCTCACTGGAGTCATACGGAATCACAATGTAATTTTTATTTGCATTTCTTTAATAGCTAGGGAGCCTGAACATTCTTTATGTGTCTTTGGTCATTTGAATTTGTTCTCTAAAAAAAAAATGCCTGCTCATTTCTAACACCCATTTCTTCATAGGGTTGTTTGTTTTGCTGTTATTAAATTTCTGAAGCTCTTCTTAAATCCTGGCTATGAGCTCTCTAACTGTTGCATGGTGTGCAAAGATTGTACCCCATTCTGTGGGCTACTTCTTCACTTTACTGATCTTTCCTTTGTTGCTCATGGGCTTCTTAGTTTGATGTAGTCTCATTTGTTTATTTTGACTTTGATTGCCTGTACTTTTGGTGACTTCCTAAAAAGTTTCTACCAATGCCTCTATTTACAGAGTGTCTCCTATGTTTTCCTCTAATAATTTGATGTTTTCTGAGTGCAGATGTAAATCCTTGCTGCATTTTGAGCTGATTTTAATAGAAAGTGGGAGGTGGAAGTCTTGCTTCTTACTTTGTAGGCAGTTGTTCCAACAGCATCTGTAGAAACCAAGATTTTTCCCTGGCTTATTTTCAGTTCTCTTGCCCAAGATAATTGGCTATACATGTTTGGCTTCTATTCTAGGGTTCCTACTCTGCCAATTCATCCGTGTTTCTGTGTTAGTACCATACTGTTTTGATGACTACTACCCTGTAGTATGTCTTTAGGTCTTGAATTTTTATTTCTCTAGCTTTATTTTTATTCTTCATGATAGTTTAGCCATTTGTGATCCCTTTTTTTTCGGAGTGAATTTTACCATCATCTTTTCTATTTCTGCAAAGAGTGTTGATGGCTTGGGATCACATTGAATCAGTATATTACTTCCAATAATATGGCCATTTTGATGATGTTGATTCATTAATCCATCTTTTAATGTCTACTTTTTAATGTCTTCTTCAACTCCTTTTTTTTTAATGTTTTGTAAATTCCATCATAAAGGTCTTCCACATCTTTGCTTAGGTTTATATGAAGATATTTAAAATTCTTTTTCTGCTATTTTAAAGGAGAATGTACTTGTGACTTCTTTCTCAGCCATTCAATTATTTGTGTATACCACGACCACTGATTTATGCTCACTAATTTTGTACCCTCTCACTTTGCTAAACTCTCTTATCATTTTATGTCATATGGATACACATTTATTGAAAACACAACTCTTTCCCCTGTTTATTGAAAACATAATACTTTCTCCCATTTACTGAAGCAAGGTCTTTTGTCTCTTTATTCATTTTTGAAAATTAGATGGCTATGTATTTGTGTGTTTGTTCCTTAACAATGTGTGTTACTGTTGTAATCACTGTATCTATGCAGCAAAATCTTAACATTTGTGTTATTTTTCTTAAAAATTGGCTCAATGTTTCAAGAATATTTACATTTTCATGTTAGTGTCAGAATTGGTTTATTAGTTTCCACATAAAAGTATCTAGTAAGTGATTATCTTGGATTACTTTAGATCAACAGAAACATTTAGGAAAGTTTAAATGAATACTGATTCATCTTACTTATGAATTTAGATATCTGTTTGCTTATTATGACTTGTATTTCAATGATCAGTAGTTGGAGATTTTAGTTTATAGGCCAATATATCTTCTATTGGATTATTTAGTTATATAATTTTTATTCTATTGTAAATGGTAGCTTTCACATAAGTTCCACTTTCTTTTTTTTTAAAGATTTATTTTTTATTATTTTTTCATTGGAAAGGCGGATATACACAGAGGAGAGACAGAGAGGAAGATCTTCCGTCCGATGATTCACTCCCCAAGTGAGCGCAACGGGCCGATACTATGCCGATCCGAAGCCAGGAGCCTCCTCCGGGTCTCCCACGAGGGTGCAGGGTCCCAAGGCTTTGGGCCGTCCTCAACTGCTTTCCCAGGCCACAGGCAGGGAGCTGGAAGGGAAGCGGGGCTGCCGGGATTAGAACCGGCGCCCATATGGGATCCCGGGCGTGCAAGGCGAGGACCTTTAACCACTTGCACCACCGCGCCGGGCCCAAGTTCCACTTTCAAATTCATTGCTAGTGCATAAAACAGACAATGTTGTACATTAGCCTTATACTGAGAAATCTGGCTAACCGTGATGATACTTAGATATAGCTTCTTTGGGCTTTTTAGATTTTATTTTTGATGATGCTTACATAGCTGATTAGGGTGGGAAGGAATAGGGGAAAGTAAGACCATTGTTTCCAAATTTTCTTTTTCTTCTTCTCTTGTATTTGGGGAAAGAGGGGAGGAAAGGAGAGAAACCTCACCCAGCCTCCC